GCTTCAGCTGCGTGGCTGCCGGCCGCCATCTTGGTTGGCAGTTAATTTGCATATCTCGCTGATTAGCCAATGGGAAGGGTAGCGAACTTACGGTTAATTACCATGTTTCTCTATTATTAGATAGGATTAGTGACAGCTCTGGACAGTAGGGTTATTGGCGATTTTTAAGTTTTCTTTTTGTGCTTTTCAGGATTTCTAAATTCTGTAGAATGAGCATATCTAATTGATGGCTGGGAAAGAAATGATTACAAAATAAAATTTAAAAAATTCCTTATAAAATCATAATGTATCTGTTCTCTACTTTCAGCTTCACATTTAGTATCCATTTTACCAGGCGGCTGTCTGGGCAACTCCTACATAACAGAGCTGGCAGGAGGAGACACGAGAAGCCGTGACATGGAGGGGTGGAGGCGAGCACTGACCCTTGCTGGGGTGTAAAGGCGGGCGACCTTCAGAAGCGACCCCCACACTTCAGGGCTGCACAGGCCAGAAGCGGCAAACACGCACACGTGCGGCGTCCACAGGTACTTCATTCTGCGGGGACAGCGGGCAGAGGTCAGCCCCAGACAGCCGTGCGGTCAGATCCTACCCGACTGCGCAGAAACGCCGGCCAGGGGAGCAATAACCTCCCGGCCCGAGGGCTGACGCAGGATCAACCCCGCGATACTCGGATCCGGGAAAACCGCTGTGACTGCGGTTTTGTCCTCGGAGGAGTCGGCAGACAAGGATGTTCTGTGGGAACCTGGGCCATTAAGGAAGACGACAGCTTCCCATGATACTGCTATCTGAGGCCAGGTGAAGAGCGGCCGGGTAAGAGGATAAGTTGGAGATGAGACGAAAATACCTCATTGTGCTCAGCGCCAAGGCTCCGAACGCGATGGTGTGGGTTAAGTTGTAGGCGGTGTCGGGCCCCAGGCTGACCGCGCACCTTCCCGCGTGACCCTGGGCGGGAGAGTCGCTGGACAAAACAGCACAGACACATGAGAGCTGGACACAGGATTCTAACTTAGTCAACTCTCTTCTAGAGACAATACACTCACCCTTTCATGTATTTAGAAATGTATTACTTCCCTAAGACAAAATGAATTGCCACTGGTCATTTTAATTTGTTTATGAGGCTAAAAGTGTCACAATATGAACGCATTAATAAGCAGAAAAACTATAATGTAATGAATTTAATTTTAAGGAAAGAAAGTACTTCAGTCCTTAAATTATAAGAGAATAGCAAACAAAAAGAAATCCTTTTGAAATGCGGAAACTAAGATCTTGAAAGCTGTTTTACGAGTTACCAGTATTTTTTAAGTTTTTACAAATAAGAAAAAGTAAAGACGTGCCATGAACTTGGGCTTCAGTTCCTGCTGAACCGACAACAGTGCCCGGGGCACTTCCAGCCGATGGCTCTACCGGCTGCGCCCACTGGAGCAACGCACCCATGTTTAACCACGCGCCTCACGCGTCTAACAGCGTTCACGGCACCTGCTTCTCAGGTGGTTTCCGCGAGTCAGGACCCCAGCCTTGCACACGACTTTCTAAGTCATCTTTCCGCCAATAAAGCCCCCCACCCGCCTTGGGGCCGTGAAGCCGAAAAGCACCGCCCTGTTGTCTGCTGCTTCCCGTGACACCGAGACACCGAGCCTCACGGCCCAGCGCGGAGTCTGCAGCCTGCGCACCTGAGGTGATGGAGAGCGGCAGCCAGTGCCATGGTCGCGGTGACGCCCAGGACGAGCACGTAGGCGTGGAGCAGCAGGGTGTCCGAGAGCCGCCCGAAGGTGTCCCAGGGCAGCAGGCCGAACGCTTCCTCACACAGGTACAGGTTCGCGTCGAAGTCTCTGGGGACAAACGGAGACCTAGGGTTAAACCCAGTGTCAGGAAACTTCCATTTCCCCCCAAATGAGTCTGAAATGAGCAGTTGAAGGCACAATGATAACTTTTAAAGTCCTTGCTGACTTAATACAAAAAGCAAACATACATCTTATTGTTTAAAGAAAAAAAAAAAGACTTTAAATGTAGGCGTACCTCGTTGCTCCAAATCCAAACTTGGCCTTCAGAAATTTAAATATGTGCTCATCTGACCTCAGGCTCAGCATTCTCTGCGGGAGGGAGAAGCCAGAAACTGCGTCAGTGCCCCGTGTGCCGCGCGCAGGGCCCCCCGGGCACAGGCTCGGGGCCGTGCAGAACCAGCGGTGGCCACACGCACCACCACATCCTCAGGGCCCAAGACTCCTAAGCAGGGACCCGAGGCTGTCCCTTCCTTTTATGGCAGAATCACTGTGTCAGACAGAATCTTATGTGTAAGTTTAATATGTAAAGTAGATAAAAGGTGGGCTTCTTTGGCTTTAGAAGCCCATTGAGTATGATCTTTTATTTTATTTTTTTTAAAATATATTTCTTTATTGGTATCAGAGGGGAAGGAAGAGGGAGAGATAGAAACATCAATGATGAGAGGGAATCATTGATTGGCTGCCTCCTGCATGTCCCCTACCGGGGATGGAGCCCACAACCCAGACATGTGCCCTTGGCCGGAATCGAACCTGGAACCACAGGCCGATGCTCTATCCACTGAGCCAAACTGGCTAGGGCTGAGTATAATCTTTTAGATCAGAAAACCAATAACCCGATAATCTGCAACCTCCAATGGCCACAAATAGAATTTTTTAAATTGAGAGAAATACTTGTTTAAGGCTTTTAAAGTTGAGTTTCTAAAAAGTTTAGTGACTCAAAAGGAGTTGAGGTAGAACATGTTAGAGTGAATAGAAAGCAAGGACTGAAATCAAGAAAAGAATCCTGTTACTGAAACAACTTAAAACTTAAGCCTGTTCAGATCTTGTAACATAGAAACCCACACCTGAAACCTATATGCTCATGTTGACCAATGTCACCCCAATCAACTTAATAAATATAAAACAATATCCCTCCCAAACTGAGCCTGTTTAAAGTAAAACTGGTAACTCTTTAGAAATGCTAAATTAAATATGACATTTTATTAACCTACCTTAATCATGTTGTTGAGAAAAAGCGTCAAACATAAAACCACAAGTAGATGTAACAAGAGTTTCCCAAGCCTATTAAGGAAGTTTCCAGTTTTCAGATTTTTCTAGAAATTAAAAGAGTTGAGGTTTAATTCTTAAATTTGAATATAACTTCATAAACACTTAAGATTACATAAGCATTTAAAACATTGGGTCATGCAACACATGGGGAAAATATGTGGAAAACATAACCTACTAGTTTTCTTATAATCTCAGATAACTTTACAGATAATCAAATATAATAGCATCTAAAGAGTTCAAGTATGAGTGACATTTACTTATAATTAAGGTTGACAGCAGGAATGAGCACGAATGTTTTTGAGTCAGCGAACAGCCTGTTCTAACCACAGCTGTGACGGTTTGTCCGTGGCAGCTCTCATCAATGCTAACCATGGATTTCCAAAAACCCAAGGATGCCCTTCCCACTTTTCAGTGGGAATTTGGTCATCAGTTTTCCTTTGAACGCTGCATGAAAGGTCCCATGAACTAAAAAATTTATAGACAAAAAAAAAAAAAAGAATTCCTACCTGAAGTTTTCTTGCAATTAATACTGAGAGGTTAAAACTGATCAGCAAAGATCCAAGAATCATGGAATTGAAAAACTGCAGGGCACAGACCAGGAGCAGAGCTGTGAGCTGGATGGAGTACAGCCAGGTCGCCTTCGGAGGGAGAGTGGAGGTGAGGAGGCAGGTCATCAGGAGACCAGCGCCCCGTCTCCAGTTACACACACGCAGAGAACACCCACTGGAGTACACCCACTGGCTAAAGAAGAAACGAAGTCACACACGTCTGTTTAACCACAAAACGTTTGAAATTCTGTAACAGTCAAGAGGCAACAAACTGGATACTATGAAGCAGAGGAAGAAACGATGCTTTAACCGCATCCTGGAAACGCATCTGTAGCCTTCAGCTTCTCCTAAATTCCTTTAAGTTACTGTTGACAGCTGACCATCAGCAGTTCATCATCTCCCACTACTTCCCAACTTCCCACTTGAGGACCACGTCGTCCATTGCTTCCCTTTACCTATGCGTGTGCATGTGTGCGCGCGCGTGCGTGTGTGTATGTGTGTGCGTGTGTGCGTGTGTGTGTGTGTGTGTGCGTGCTCGCGCACGCGCCTACTTCCCCAGGGACTGGAACTGCAGGTGAGCACCTCGGCCGGCCTTCAGCCTTGGTGTGGGGACCGGCTGGTGGTAAGACAGGGCCGCGCACCGGCCTTAGGGTCGGGGGGACGGGCACAGGTGCCAGCTGAGGCGACCGGCGCAGGGAAATAAGTGCACATGAGCAGCTCTGGCCAGTGACACTGACAGGATGAAAAGTCAAAGAAGCAGAGCTCAGCCCACGTGGAGCCACGCAAAAATGCCTCAAAAAATAAATAAAATGAAGAGCTGATACTTTTTCTCTTTTCTTTCAATTAGGCCATCGCAGGTTCACACCGGTTTATGAAGATTCTTATTCAGCAGGAAGTCACATTTCCCCCTTGTTTTGTGCTCCGACCTCAAAGGAAACAGACCCTGGTCAGCATTTAAAAGTCAGGCCTGCAGCACACACGAGGAACAAACAGGGTTGAAGTTCCTCATTTCAGAGGGAAGTCCGTGTGGCCTCAGCAGGCTCACCCCCGAGGCTGGTTGATGTCGCAGTGAGGATGTTATAAGGGACCACAGGAAAGTTGCTACAGACCCACTGATTTCCTTGGGGAGGCGGTGCACAGCCACACATTTTGAGAGCTGTCTTATAAATTGAAATGTAAATCTTCTCTATAAAGGACAATTGATCTAGATATTTGTGCTCCAAATAAATCTGCCATTTAACGTACAATAAGCAGAATCAGAGTTAAGATGGTCACACGAGGCTGTTAACCACCAGCTCAAACAGCACATTTCCGCCGTGTGACACACATGCGCACCTGCGACAGCACAGCACCAGCGCCGCCTCCCGTCCCCGCCGCGTGCTCACCTTGGCGGCCGGCAGCATGCCCAGGGAGTCCAGCGCGAACAGCCCCAGCGCCTGCACCAGCATCGTGAACTGATTAAACTGCCAGGTCAGGCTGAAGACAAACGTCGACGTGAAGATGGCGAGCAGGGCCAGCCGCTGTGGAGAGAAAACCTCTGTAACGCCCCTGTCGTGAGGGATAGAGCCTCGCGGGCGGGTTCGAGAGCAGCAGGACCTCTGTGAGCAAACAGAGAACAGAGATCGTGGCTCTGACAACCCGAGCGCTGGAGGCAACCACGCGCTGTGCGGATCCCACACCAGCACAGAGGTGACCACACACCAAGTGGCATCGCAAGAGCAGTGGCTTAAGGGTTCCCACCGTTTTGCAGAAATTGTCTGTGGGTTTGCTGCAACTACTTAAGGCTGGATTATGTAAAAAGTATATTTAAAAAGTATATATTTTTATTGATTTCGAGAGGAAGGGAGAGGGAGAGAAACATCAATGATGAGAGTGAATCATTGACCGGCTGCCTCCTGCACGCCCCCCACTGGGGATCGAGCCTGCTGTGCGGATCCCACACCAGCACAGAGGTGACCACACACCAAGTGGCATCGCAAGAGCAGTGGCTTAAGGGTTCCCACCGTTTTGCAGAAATTGTCTGTGGGTTTGCTGCAACTACTTAAGGCTGGATTATGTAAAAAGTATATTTAAAAAGTATATATTTTTATTGATTTCGAGAGGAAGGGAGAGGGAGAGAAACATCAATGAGAGTGAATCACTGACCAGCTGCCTCCTGCACGCCCCCTACTGGGGATCGAGCCTGCAACCTGGGCATGTGCCCTGACTGGGAATTGAACCGTGACCTCCTGGTTCATGGGTTGATGCTCAACCACTGAGCCACACCAGCCCTGCTGTAAAGCACATTTCAAACAATAAAAGGAAACCATTTCTTTGCAAAGGAGGAGAAGGCTCAGAAGAAGGCTTCCTTTAACTCAAAAACTGGTCATGAACCAAGGACTCCGCCCGTCACCACTCCTGAGCTTGGATGACATTGGAGATTAGAAACAGGAAGGATTCTGGGACTTACCTCGGACACGGGACGCAGGTTTGGCCTCAGGAAATACGTGATGGCTGCGACCTGGACCGCAAAGAAGGGCAGCGCCCAGTTCTCCCGCAGCGGGATGGTGAACTCCACCCGGGTGGTGTCTGTCCTGCACACACAGGGAGCACAGTCCTCACCCGTGCCGTGGCCGCCCGTGCCATGGCTGCCCGTGCCGTGGCCGCCTCCACTGTCCTACACGACAGCTACGTCACACGAAGGGCACCAGGCTCTGGCGACTGGTTCCCAGTAACCATCTGTTCTCCCCCACCAGCCCCGCAACGTAAACTCGGCAGGGAGGACGTCCAGGTGCCCGTCCACACGTGGCAGCCAGCCAGGGGGATCTGGGCGGAAACACGCGTGTTCCTGTGACTGCCTCACTGCCTCCACTCCCCATGCACGCTCCCCTGTGCTCTTCACGCTGTACACGTCCTGAACTTGTCACCGCTGACCATTTCTACGAGCCCCTTGCTTCCCTAGAACGTGACCCCTAGAGGGCAGGTAGAGGTCAGGTGTCATCTTTGTCCACTGGTTCCAAGAACTGTCTCTACACATTGTAGGCTTTCAATAAATATCTTTGATTTACTCTTGAAACAAACACATTTGACTTCCATTCACTCTTAGCAGGAATAATAGGCTAGATCAGAATGCTAAGAGGCAGCCTGGCACAGTGGTCGCACCCCTGTTAGAATTCTGACCAAGACTTCGCAGCCTGTGTACTGATTCAGATATGCACATGCCTTGACATGTACTTATTCTCACAGGTACACAGACTCACCTATCACTGTAAGTTAGCCCTTAAGCTTCAATGTCCGCATCCCTAGGGTGGGGTAAGAACAGTCTCTCCTCCATGAGGCTCGTCGGGGAATACTCGGAAAGCATTTTGCACAGTGCTCGGCCTGCAGTAATCCCTCAGTAAGGTTACAGGAGAAAGCAGTTTGTTTGGGATTCTGACATAGAATCAATGTCAGACGCTGTGTCCGAGTTTGTAAGTTTCCTCCTCAGTATTGGTGTTGCGACTGCAGGTCAGGCAGTTTTTCCGAGCGCTGGCAGAGGCTCCCTGACTGACAGGGCTGCAGAGCAGCTTCCTCTGAGCGACTGCCCTTTGCTCTGTTTAAAGGGAGGAGGCGACAGCGGCTCCGACTCACCTGTTGGTGACGTACCAGAAAGCCGCCAAGAGCCCCGCCAGCCACGTGCCGCTCAGGAGCCAGCTGGTGGCGTACAGAGCCGCCACGTAGACCGCCTGGAGCCCGAACAAGGTGTAGATGTAGAAGTAAACGGGCTCGAGGTACTTCTGCAAAAGGGACGATGAAACTACTCGTGAGGGAAGCCCTGCCCTTCTCCCTGCCACTCAAACAACACACAGTAGGACCTCATCCAGAAGCCTGGAGCTGATCCCACTCCACAGCCCACATCCCCCAGAGAGCCTCCGGGGGGCTTCCCTCTTCGGACGAGGGCACACCTGGTTTTGTCCGGTTTTACCCTGCTCAAGTGAGAAGAGGTCATTGTGATTTGGTAACTTTCCAATGTCTTTTATTTCAAAGATAAGTGAGGAGCGATCACATGTGTCCACCTGAAAACGTTTATCGCTTCTAAACTGCACACACATCGTAAGCCGGGAAGCATCACATGTACCACACAGCTTATAAGACAGGAATAAAAAGCAAACGTCACAGTATTTATGAAGATGATTAGGGTACTGCTGCTTTTCCACCAAGCCAGTTGAAGATCAGAATAACATGTCAAACTTCAACCTGAAATGGCAGATTTTGATGTCCACCTGCTCTTAACTCAACGCCACACAACACCTCAACATACCTGTATGGGCAGAACTCGGTATAAAACACTGAGGAAGACCTCCTGGTAAATGTTCATTCGCTGAAGGAGGTTAATGGTCCGCATAGATTCTGTTTTGTTATCGTACATTAAGCCATGAAAACCTAAGGTTGATATTTGAAAAACCAGGAAAAAGAATTACAATTTAAATAATTCATTTATTCAAAACTACTCACAGAGTCTTTGCAAGGGCCAGAGAACGTGCCTGCTGTGAAGCAGACGACACCCTCCGGGAAGCATCCCGACCGAACCAGAACCTGGACCCAGCCAGCGCCAGACCCACCACCACCTGATGGGCCGCTCAGACCACAGAAACACGGCAAGGCAGGCGCCGGGCCGGGGGCTCCAGCAAAACCCAGAAAGTGGGACACTATCCGACAGATCACTCAGCGTTTTCCACAAACAATTACAAGGAAAAATGGGAAGAAGCCTACAGATTAGAAGAAACAGGCAGAGACGTGGCCAACGCCTGCCACGTGTGGCTTTGTCTGCTCTCAGGGACGTTTAAACCCTGGGAGGCAGAGCCGCTGCAGGACTCGCCGCCTCGGCATCTGCTTGAAATGCTCTGGAAGAACCACCGGGACAAGCGCTGGGTGAGCCGGGTCCAGCGACACGTAAAAAGGTGGCAGTCACCTTCACGGCAGCTTCTCACCTCACTAAGGACTTCTGCCATGCTGGCTCGATGCCTCTCTGTTGTGGGGACTGAGTGATGATGTTTCTGTTTAAAGACACTGTCTTTTTCTTTTCTTTTGCAGGAGGAGTGGTGTCTGGCGTGGGGCACGTGCCCCCCGACTCCCAAACTCCACCCTCTTTCCAGTCCCAGCCTGTGGCCTGAGCCCGGGTCATCGAAGAGGAGACAGGGTCACCCACTGAAGGTGGGACATGCCACTGCCCCCCCCCCCCTCATGTGTCCTGCAGGGGCGGGAAGGACAAACCCTTGTGTCCAGGGCTGACTTTCAACAGGTCACAGCGAGGGAGCTGCTCTGCTCCCCACGAAACCCCACCCAGAAGCAGGTAGACACCCACGTGAATGCCCACTGCTGAGCCCTGGCCAACAGCGCCCTGACTCGCGCTCACCTCAGCCTGCCTTTCCTGTACCGACTGTGCCTCGAGGCCACCGAACAGCTGATGAGAAAAAGGGGTTAGACAGCTCCAGCTGGCAGATCCGGGAGGGAGGGCAGAGTCAGTGTCACTCTGCAACTCTACTGAAGTAACAGGTACAGGCGATGCAGCCTCAAACAGCTGCTACACCATTACGTGTTGGCTGAGGGGTAGTTAACCTTTTTATGCGTAAAACTGCCTTTCCACACAGGAACGGACTAACTTTTATGGCACAAAAAGGAAGATAAGCAAAATCGCACGCCTCTCATTGTGACAGGGAAGCACAAAACATCACCCCTGGAGAATTCTCGCCAAAAACACATCTGAACCCGAGTCCAAGACAGGACAGCTGTGCCTCATGCCGGGTGACCCACATCAGCACACAAGACATGGGGGACCCTCCGGCTTCCATTCGCCGGAGCCAAGGTGAAGAGTGTGGGCTGTGAGCACTTACAAACAGTGGAAATGGGGGAAATGGCCACTGCAGAAATAAAGGCATGCATGGGGCACTGGGACGGCTGTAATTTCGCTTGGTTTATCGAAATCCCTCCATCCAGACCACAGCCCTGTCACCTGCAAAGACCTCTTCCCAGGGGATCGCGAGAAAAGTCAGCTGCGAGACCGAGAAATCACAAAGATGAATTATGGGAGGGGCGGCTCGCAGAGGCGGGGAAGGAGGGATACATAAGGTATTATACAGCTTCTAGAGCAGAACGTTTCCTGTCCTTTAACCAGTAAAACGACAAAGGGTCGAAGGAAGACAATACACGTTCCATGGAGCATGTCACGTGCTTCCGTGCCAACGTGTTTTCTGGCTGACACAGGGAAAAGGTGGGGACCGCATGGCGTGGGCACCTTACCGTGCGCGAGGCTGGGCGCCTGCAGCATCTGCTTGTAGTAGGAGTAGTACAGCCCGCACTCCGTCCGGAAGGAGATCTCCCGCTCCACCTCCTGAAACGAAGGCGATTTTCATTTGGGTTCACACGACCTAGCCTGGTTACGTCTCTGTTGTCACTATCGAGACAGGACACAGAACTACAACTTAGAAGGGAAACCAACTCTGGAGACAGAGTCTTAAGAAATCTCAGCAAACAGAAGCAACAGACGGCTGATAATGGCTGAGGCTGGGTGTCTATTTAAGGGTTTATTATATGATTCTCTCTACTTCTATGGGTGTGTAAAATTTTCTGTAACAAAGCATTTTTAAAAGCAGAGACAACTAGTTCCATTTAGTTGATGTTTCAGAGGCAACATTTTTCTTGTATTTCACACAAATTAAAACAAATAAACAACCCCCCACCACTATTCTTATGTAATATTAGTGAGAAACAAAACCGAAACAGCATAAAAAAATCCCCCAAATGAAAAGAACTGTAATTGTGTTAGACACTTGCCTAAAAGCTGACAATATTACATGAGATGAATAGTTTTCCTTTTATTTTAAGAATATAAGGATGTCGTAGTGAAAGGCAGTAGACCTTTTACATGTGAATTTTACTTTGACAAGTGGAAAGTGTTCATGTAGGGAAATGGATACAAGATATTTAAAGGGCTTTCACATACACAGTCCATTTTTAGAGGAACGGAATTTAAAGCAATAGCTATTAGTCAATTGGGTTGTAACATGCTTTTATAAAATTTAAGACATTAACATAAAATATGCAGGAAACTGGTATTGAGGATAGGAAGACTTCGGGAATAATCCCACTACTATGCTTCGACCCTGTATTTCATGTATGTACATGTGAAGCATTCTGCGTGAACAAATGGTTATAATCTGTGTCATTCTAGATTCCTTTACACCAGCGTTCGAAACCAGGCCCTAAGATCTGCAACGCCCTAAGACCTACGTCTCCTGTTACAGCGGGTCCACATCCCACAACCCCGGCTCCACTGGGGAGACGGCAAACACCATACATCTGGCTTCCTCGCCGATAACCCTCTTCTACCACCTCTGTAGTTCCCGTACCGCCAACTATTTTTCAAATATTAATAAATATTTCATTAAAGGAACCACTCATGCAACTTATCATCATACCTGGAAATTATTTACTTCTTCTACCTTTTAAGTATTTCTTTAAATATTTTTCTTCTTAAAAAAAGGTGTTATAAATCAATTCATGAATAGCGCATTGAAGAAATATTCAATTATGTAAGAGTATAGACATCTAATTATTGACCTTGAAAAACAAACTATTTTGTTCTATCATTGTTAACTCTTTTAAAAAATGGGAGGAGGGGTAGGGTAGCAAATTGGAAATGAGCTTCCTTTCGTGGAAAAAAAACTTATTCTGGAAAAATAAAATAGTAAAAAGAAGGCCCAGCCCCGCTGGTGTGGCTCAGTGGTTGAGCGATGACCCACAAACCAGGAGGTCATCACCCAGGTTGTGGGCTCGATTCCCAGTGTTGGGCGTGCAGGAGGCAGCCGATAGATGTGATTTCTCTCTCATCGATGTTTCTATCTCTCTATCCTTCCTCTCTCTCTAAAAGTCAATAAGAACATATTAAAACTAAAAAAAGGAAGGCCCAGTCAGGTTCTGACGTTTAATCTCATCAGCACATCTGCTTTGCAGGAAGGACAGTGTGAAATGATGGCTCCTGAGCTCTCCTGTGGTGTGCCTTCCTCAGCAGGGCAGGCAGCCTCTCCGACCTCGGCGACGGCAGCTCTGTTGCTTTTGATGACAGTAAAGTAAACTGGCATCGCTCCCCTCTCCAATGTTCAGACTCCTACTGGGTCAAGGACCCCCAGAGGCTGGGCATGGACGTTAACTGAGTCGACATTAGCTTCCTTCCATGCAAAACAGCCACACTCAGCTTAATGACACTCCTCTTCTTCTCTCCGGCCGCCTTCCAGGGCACATGCTGACGTCACACTGACACCCCAAATCAGCCTGCAGAGCCCCATCGGTCACTCTCTTGTGGGGGCTTCTAACCCCACACGGTTTCCGAGAGGAAATGACTTTTTTTTTAAAATGTATTTTTATTGATTTCAGAGAGGAAGGCAGAGGGAGAGGGGGACAGAAACATCAATGATGAGAGAGATGTATTGATCCTCTTGCCCGCCCCACACAGTGGACAGAGTTCACAACCCAGGAATCGAACCGTGACCTCCTGGTTCACAGGCCCATGCTCAACCACTGAGCCACGCCGGCCGAGAGGAGAGACTGATTTCATCAAGACGGGGAAAGAAAGGCCTCGAAGTACTCACGGGAGAAAGCTTTTGCGCCCTCCCCCCTCCTTAATCCACCCGGAACGTGTGAGGAACAGAGGGTCGTAATTAGGAAAAATGCATTCAAACATGATGAATTGGTGATCTTGGCACCAGCTGTGGGGAACCAAATGCTATACTTTATCAGACAGACATTTGCAAGTTTTACATCTGCTTCCTGCTAAGACGACATCTGCTTCCCCCATTCAAACCCTTTCCCAGTTCTACAGCAATTTATACTTTGCCGGGCGGGTGGGTTGTGCCACGGACGACGCACAGCAATAGCGCTGCCTCTAAAGAATGCAGAACGAGCAAATACCTCCCATTTTACTTGCGTGGGTTCCACCGGGAAAGCGATGCTGAGAGATGCGAACATCTTCTCTAAAGATAATGACAGAAAGAAGTGGAGAGACAAAGGAAGTGTATTTTTAAGGAACTGTACAGCTCAAACCATTCTGTAGTCGTGGATACAGTAATTTAACAGAAGCACTAAAAGGAAAAAAAAGTGACTGCCCAGAATGAGCCATCCGCCTCCTTGGCGGCACACAGGGGTAACAAGTCCTTTTAGACAAACGACACCAAATGTGCAAAGGCAACATCTCACTCGGTCCTTTAAAATCTCACGTAAATCACTCCTGCTTATAAAAACTGCCCCCCAAATGACGAGGCTGCAGGTGGTGGGGAAGCCACGGGAAGATTAACCTTATAACCGAAATCTGTTTCCGAATTAGGTCGACAATCATCTCACCAGCGAACAGCAGCTCACAGGAAGACAGCTGTTCCCCGTCCGGCGCTGGGAAGCGAGCCCTCAGCAAACATATTCCCGGCACGTACCCGGGGAACTGTCTGGCAAGTCCACGCCCACCAGTCAGAATGCAGGACTCGCACCCTCGGGGTGACTGGAGCTGCAGCCCGAGGGTTGCCAAGCTCTGAGGCGCTCGGACGCCTGCCTGTCGAAGTGACTGCCCTCCCACGGGGCTGACCCGAGGTGACCAGCCCTGGTCTCACTGTGGCTGCCACGCTGTGCACTAACCCTACTGCTTCTAAAGGCTCCTTGCTTTGTAAGAGTGTTCAGTGGGAAGATATTCAAATTCTGTGACAGCAAATAAATGAGGGACAGTGGGAAATGCTAGCGTGAGGAAAAAGGACTAAAAGAATCGAGGGTCTCGAGTGCGTTGAGCCAAGGGGGAACTACTTCTCCTCATCACTGGACTTTGATTTGCTGGGGAGACAGAAAGGTGCAAGAATTTAGCCCTTGTTGTCAAGGGGTTTATTTTTCAACGAGAAGGAAGAATGCACTTTAAGAAAACGACTTCAAGGGAAGGCCCGCATCAGCCTGAGGGAATGCAGGGCCTTTCCCCGGAGCGCTAACCCAGCCCCCGCACTGGACGCTGCGTCTGACGGGCCTCTTCTTCCTCCGAGAATTCCTTCCTTCATTCCACAGACACCTGCTGACCGACTGGTGACCTGACAGGTTAAAGCTAAGTTATGGGACCTCGTCTGCACCTTCCTTACTCTTCAGTTACCAGCACCCGACTTCGCTGTGTGCCCACACAGGGGTATTTGAGTCTTTATTCAAAATACTGTGCTAATCAGTAAACATTAAACTGCTTAATTCTAGGGAACCTGTTTATCAACATTCTGCTTTAAAGAGAGATCGGTGAGTGAAATTCTTTCTGACAAGAAAAACTAGCGATTGTCACTAAAGGGTAAGGATCATTCTTCTTTGCTGTCATCACACTGTGTATAAAGGTGTAATGATACAGGCTGAGCCATAAGCTACCAGAGATCAGTCAGATAATTATTTTGTCATTCCAACGTGGGAACCAAAGCTCACGATACTTTGGCAAACTCTCTATGGGAACTCTCTTTAGGTCCCACGTTGTTTCTTCTGAATGTTCTCACAGATGAGAAATTCTTGGCCCTCGAAGGTGAATTTTATCTTTGTAAGCAGCCAGTCATGAGACACCATGGTTGTAAGTAAGGTCACAGGTCATGACACTTTGGGTTAAAGAAGAAAAAGGCATATTTGGTTCAAAAACACTGTCAATATGTAAGTTTCCTTGCGTAATATACTCGTTCTGAAAACAGTGCCAAATTAAAAAACGCTAGAGCCGGCTGGTGTGGCTCGGTGATTGAACACTGACCTATGAACCAGGAGGTCACGGTTCATTCCTGGTCAGGGCACAGGCCCGGGTCGCAGGCTCGATCCCCAGTGTGGGGCGTGCAGGAGGCAGCCGATCAGTGATTCTCTCTCTCATCAGGGATGTTTCTATCTCTCCTTCTCCCTTCCTCTCTGAAATCAATAAAAAAAAAAAAAAAAAAAATATATATATATATTTAAAAGAAACACTAGAAATGCTTACAAAGAGAGAGAAGAGAGGGACAACAGGAAACTGGTGTGTAAAACACCACAGACTTCCTGAGTGTGAAGAGAATTATGGCTCCTTCCCCGGAGTCATGGCTGGCCCCCGCCACGCGCACATCCAGTTAGACGTGGACACGCTGCGACCACTGGGCGGAGACTCCATGGCGCAGAGCAGTGCCTTTCGAATTTCTGTCTTTCTTTTTTAATACCACCCAACAGAAGAAACACGTTTATACTGTGACCTCATTTGTATACACACACACACAATGAAGAGTTTCATGGCTGATCCCGCACCCCAGCACACGTCACAGCACGCTCTTGTACGTGATGTCACGAAGGAAAGCGTTACTCGTGACCCACGGCACTAAGTTCACGATCCAGTGGCTCAGTGGATAGAGCGTCAGCCTGCGGACCGAAGGGTCCCGGGTTCGATTCCAGTCAAGGGCACGGACCTCGGTTACAGGCTCCTCCCTGGCCCGGGGCCCTGGTCGGGGCACATGCAGGAGGCAACCCATCGATGTGTTTCTCTCACATCGATGTTTCTCTTCCTTTCCCTTTCTCTTCCTCCCACTCTCTCTAAAATCAGTGGGAAAACATCCTCGGGTGAGGATTAACACAAAGAAAAGCGCTGGTCCCAGTAACTGCTGCTTCCCTGGAATAAGTTAGGAAACGCCCTGGACTGTAGACATTCTGATCTTATTTTACCAAAAAACACAGTCTTTTTACTCCATCGCCACACTGTTTAGGGACTGGATTCTCTGTGGGAATCTCATGCCGGGCTCACGGAAACCCGTACCTTTATGTTGGAAAACCACAGGTCATTCTCATGTAAGGTGGCCAGGTAGACGGACGTCAGGAGTCCAGCACAGAGGGCGACGGCTCCGCCGACTGTAAATGACAGAATCTTCCATAACCTTCTACTGGTACCACCTTCTGGAAAAGTCAAACCGATAAAGAACTAAGTCGGTAAAGAACTGCACAGTCTGCCCTGGCTGGTTTGCTCAGTGGACAGTGCGGCGGCCTGCGGACTGAAGGGTCCCGGGTTCGATTCCGGTCAAGGGCACAGGCCTGGGTTGCGGGCTCCATCCCCAGTGGGGGGCGTGCAGGAGGCAGCTGATCAGTGATTCTCTCTCATCATTGATGTTTCTCTCTCTCCCTTCCTCTCTGAAATAAAAATGTTAAAAAAATAAAGAATTGCACAGTCTGTTTCAGACCCTCAGGTGTGCTCACTTAACATCAGACTGAAATGTGGGGTGTCAGGACAAGCAAGGCTGTAGGGAGCTATATCTTGTGGGAGTGACCGAAGGTCACATGCGGCACCCACCGGAGGGCAGCTTCGGTTCCGGTGCCCCGTCCTCCTGCTGGGCTGCGCCGTCCCCCGACGAGTCTGCGGCTCGGACTCCTTTTCTCTGCCTGATGGACATCATGGTGTCAATGGCGCCCACGCATGGCTCGTCCCAGGCTCCTGCAGATGCACCTGCGGGGAGCGGAATGAATGGCCCGCAGCCCCCTCCTCCCCCACGCCCCGGCTTAGGTGGCCTTCCTGGGCGCTTTCCCGTCTCACCTTCGCAGCTCCACCCCCAGCAAGGCTCCCAGAACCCCGCAGAGAACCTACGGAACCCCACACGAGAACTTACGGAACCCCGCACGAGAACCTATGGAACCCCACACGGAACCCCACGCGAGAACCAAGAGCAGCGTGTGGAGGCACCGTCGGGAGGCCGCGGAGACCCCTGCAGCCCCGCGCTGGT